TGTGAAGGGGGTCATTGAATTTTTGTGATGTAGGGGGGGCAGGACATTTTGTTTAGTTGTTAATTGAATTTTGCCAGCACACCCCCGGTCATAAATAATGAATGGTCCCTTATCTATTATGTTCATTTACAGACGGAACAAAGACGGAACAGAATCTCAATAGCTTTTACGAAGCACTGAATGTGAGGGATTGCCGCCTACGTACAGACGGTGGAATAGTCTATTATATTTTTAAACATCTTTACAAAATTTCCTTCCAAAGTTACAAAATCTCCTTTTGCATTCATTGAAGCCTTCAAAGTTCAAACATTTTCTTACTCCAGATTTAAGAGATTTTCAAACCTATTAATATAGCTGGACTAAAACAACAAATTAAAATATATGTAAAAATCGTGTTTTTCTACCAAGCAAGGCTGTTGAAAGATCTATTTGGCAGGCTCTGTCCTCCGCAGAGGCTTACATGAAGTTTCTAGTGAGGGAAAAGTGAGCGCGCAAGGAGTGATGGGAAGAGTCTTCCCATCACACTGCGCGCGCTCACTTTTATTCAGAAAACTTCATGTAAGTTATTTGTAATTAAGGAGGCTCTGCGGAGGAGAGAGATTTGGCAAGGTAGAAAAAGCTGTTAATTAAGACTTTTAAATGGTTTGTACTATCAAAGTTTCTGTGGGAGGGAGCTGACTCAATGTTTATGAGGGAGCTGACTCAATGTTTAACACTGAGTCAGTTGCCTCAAAACATTTCTTACAAATCCTTCCAAACTTAGAATTTACCTATGCAAAATTCCTACGGTGATTACTGAAAGTTACATCTCACTTTTCATCTAGTCTGCGATAGCAGACTGATCTCAGTCGACCCCCCGCCCCTCCTGGAGCAGACTACTTTTCATCATGTTATCCGTTCAAAGAAAAATGATCAGTAATGACGGCATTCAATCATACTTGGCCTGTTCCTCTGGGAGGTATGCCTATATTCCATATTTAACATCATTTTTAACAGGAGTTTCATCGCAAATACATTATTTCGTTTATAAGTAAAAAAAATTACTCAGTCAAAAAGCTAACCAAAAATTTCTTGCCACATCATTCAATTTCCTTCCATTTTACTTCCAAACAGCTGAGTTTCTTTGTTCATTTGCCAGGAAATATCCTGGAGGTGGAAGCACTATTTTAGTACAGATCAGTGAATTCTAAAATTCAATGACAAATGACATTGGTGAATTCCTTCATTTCCTTGCACGTCAAGTCATTCATCAGTTCCGGTGGCCGGACATTTTGAACGTGAACTAAACTAAAAGTTTTATTTATATTGTATATTTCCATTGCTCTGGTAAATATAAGCTCTCAAGCACGTACGTTGAAATAAATGCGCCGCCGCTGCGTAAATGAGATCGAGTGGTCTCTTGACGTACTTTGCCAAGTACTACCGGAGTAATCACTGACCATATCCGCTATATCGTGCTGGCTAAGCTGGCTGAATTGATAGACTACAAGATGGTACATGTACAACAGGTTAATTAACTTCATTCATAAAAATCAAATTTTATCAAAACACCAATATGGATTCAGGAAAAATAGATCGACAGAATTTGCCATTATTGAACTTGTGGATAAAATTACAAAAGGAATAGATCAAGGACAATATACACTCGGTATCTTCCTTGATCTATCAAAAGCATTCGATACAATTAATCACAGGATTCTGATTGAAAAACTGGAGCATTATGGAATAAGAGGAATCTGTTTAAAATGGTTTAAAAATTACTTAGAGAATAGAAAACAAACTGTCAAGTACAATACAATAAAATCTGATGAAATGATAATTACAAGTGGAGTGCCTCAAGGATCAATACTCGGACCAATACTATTTTTGCTGTATATAAATGATATACAAAATTGCAGTAGAATAGTTTCAATTATACTTTTTGCAGATGACACGAATATATTTTACAGTCATACTTGTCTTAAAAAATTGAATGAAATTATGCAAACTGAAATAAATAAAATATCTGACTGGTTAAATACAAATATACTGTCTTTAAATACCACAAAAACTAAATTTATGTTATTTAGGTCATCCAAGAGGAAACAAAGACATAATATAACAATATTTATAAACAACGAAAAAATTAAACAGGTTAAAAGTACAACATTCCTAGGTGTTGTTATTGATGAGTGCCTAACATGGAAGGATCATATTGACTTAATTTCTAAGAAAATAATGAAAGCCTCGAGCATCATTTCTAGAATACGTCACTTTACCAACTTAAATGCTTTGAAGTTAATTTATTATGCATTAGTCTATCCATATCTAATTTATGGCAATTTAATTTGGGGTAGTACCTATAAAACGAGAATACAGAAACTAATGAACATACAAAAGAAAATTATCCGATTAATGACATTCAAATCATACTCTGAACATTGTGAAACAATTTTTAAAAACTTAAAAATACTAAATATTTATCAAGTCAACGATTTTTTTAATAAGTTTATTTATGTTTCGATATTTCAACTTAAAAAATCTACCTGAAATATTTATGAACTATTTCAAAACTAACAACGAGGTTCATCACTACAATACAAGAAAAATATCTCAGCTTCATAAATTTTATAATAGAACTAACTATGTAAAACATACTCTTTCGAACAAAGGAGTTGATATTTGGAATGGTTTAGAAAAAAATACAAGCATATTAGATCACCTATCACTTTTAAAAGACAAATTAAAAAACACTTCTTACAGATTTAAAACTACACAAGAAGTTTTTTTTTTACTGCCAATTGTTTTTACTGTCATGCAGACACGATGCTATATAAAATTATAAAATTTTATAGCAAATATAAAAAATTAGAATTAAACTTGTACATATTTTTAGTATAATTAGTATAATACCTTAATTTTGTTTCAAGTTTTGAACTGCCAAAAACTTTATATATTAATTTAATTAAATAAACTAGGGGCCTTAATGAAAAGCCTGTTCGGGTTTCTAGTAGGCTCCTAGCCCTATAATAGAAGTAAATAAAAAAAAAACAATGTAAATACTTAATTCTGTGGGCGAATTAAATAAATAAATAAATAAAAATAAAAATGGTGGGAACAGAAGTCTCAACACAGCCTTGATTAATTGGCAATTGCTAAATATAGTATACTTCAAAATAAGGTTCCGTTTTTTATCAATTTTTAAAATAAGTTAGGGTTAGGTTAGGGAGGGGGGCAAGGGTATTTTCGTGACCCGTGATTAGCAATTATTCGTGCTTCGTGATTTGAAGAAATAACATTCCGTGAATCGTGATTAATATGCGTAGGGTCTTGAATTTACCAATATTTTACCCTAACTTGTGAATGTTTACGTTTAAAACCCGGCCCAAATTTAATATTAACGTTACAAAAATGAATAAATTTGCTTCCCGCGGATGTCTTTCTTGAGGTCTCTTCGTTTCATCGTAAACGTCGTTCTCGTATACCTTCGTACCTCTTCGTAGACTTCGTGAACCATCGTAAGACGCTCGTAATGTTTCGTAATGGCTCGCAATGATTTCCATATATAGTCCTTCAAAAGCTCTAATGTTAAAGTCAGTAAAATGTGTTTGTGTTAACATCGATTTCTGCTGTCTAGAAATCGTTAAATAGTTTCAGAACGCTTCTGTGTTTCTAAAAATCATGAAAATGAAATTTTGTTTTTTGTGACTCGTGAAATCTAAAAATGACCTTAGTGATGAGACCCCCCTTGCCCCCCCCCCTCCCCCCATTAGGGTTAGGTTAGGTTAGGTTAGGTTAGGGTCAGGTTATGGTTAGGGTTTAGTTTTGCGTTAGGATAGTTTTTCCTACGTTATAAAAACGGAAACCTTATTTGAAGTATACTATCTAGCAATCACCCTTGATATCACCTTTTTCGTCAAATTAAAACTTTCGTCAAATTAAAACTTTTAACACTAAACTAAAGAAACATTTAGCTATATAGCCATAGGACACCCCACCGAACCGATAGGATGCGCAAGAACTTTATACAATTTAACCTTTCATATATTCACTTTTGTTAGTTTTATATTCATTTTATATTTATATTCTTTTATTTATTTTTTTTTTTTTATCAGGGCTCCACTGAAAATCACTTTCGTGAGTGGACCCCCTGACTAAATATTGTAATTATTATTATTATTATTATAATTAGATGCAAAAAGTGCACATGCATATATATTTCTGCAACATCTGTGTCGTATAGGTAGTATAATTTATGCATGTTAATAAATGTGTAACCTAAATTTTCTATATGTAAAAATACGCAATTCAGCCCTTTGGCTGCGATGTATTTTATTGAATATATACTCGTACGCATTAACTCATACTTTTAAGCGCATTTAACTCGGTGACATCACAGCTTGAAACTTCTCCTTGTATTCTCCTCGAAGCTTCTCCTTGTATTCTCCTCGAAGCTTCTCCTTGCATTCTCCTCGAAGCTTCTCTTGGCTTCTCCTCGAAGCTTCTCCTTGTATTCTCCTCGAAGCTTCTCTTGGCTTCTCCTCGAAGCTTCTCCTTGTATTCTCCTCGAAGCTTCTCCTTGTATTCTCCTCGAAGCTTCTCCTTGCATTCTCCTCGAAGCTTCTCTTGGCTTCTCCTCGAAGCTTCTCCTTGTATTCTCCTCGAAGCTTCTCTTGGCTTCTCCTCGAAGCTTCTCCTTGTATTCTCCTCGAAGCTTCTCCTTGTATTCTCCTCGAAGCTTCTCCTTGCATTCTCCTCGAAGCTTCTCTTGGCTTCTCCTCGAAGCTTCTCCTTGTATTCTCCTCGAAGCTTCTCTTGGCTTCTCCTCGAAGCTTCTCCTTGTATTCTCCTCGAAGCTTCTCCTTGTATTCTCCTCGAAGCTTCTCCTTGCATTCTCCTCGAAGCTTCTCTTGGCTTCTCCTCGAAGCTTCTCCTTGTATTCTCCTCGAAGCTTCTCTTGGCTTCTCCTCGAAGCTTCTCCTTGTATTCTCCTCGAAGCTTCTCCTTGTATTCTCCTCGAAGCTTCTCCTTGCATTCTCCTCGAAGCTTCTCTTGGCTTCTCCTCGAAGCTTCTCCTTGTATTCTCCTCGAAGCTTCTCTTGGCTTCTCCTCGAAGCTTCTCCTTGTATTCTCCTCGAAGCTTCTC